CAGGCCTACGGTCCCAACCTGCGCTACATCGTGCGGTGGCGGCGGCGGGAGCCCCGCGGGAGTTGGTACAACGAGACGGTGCGGGGAGCGCGGCACGTGGTGTGGAACACCCCCATCTACGTCCCCTACGAGATCAAAGTGCAGGCAGAGAATGATTTCGGCCGTGCCCCCGAGCCTGACACCTACATCGGATATTCCGGGGAGGATTGTGAGTGTTCTTCAAGGGAGATGTGGGATTTTTGGGGTGTGGTAGGGTGAAGGGRGGATGGCGGTGTGGGGTTGTGGGATTTGGGATAAAATGATGGTTTCTGGTTGGGTRAGGATTGGAGGAGGTGGGTTGTGGAAAATTTCCTCATCTGTGGCCAGCTGGGCTGTGGAGGGTGTTCCTGTCCAAGGCCACCTGGGCTATGGCAAATGTCCCTGTCTGTGGCCATCTGGGCTATGGAAAATGTCATCATCTGTGGCTACCTGGGTTGTGTAAAATGTCCCTGTCCATGGCCACTTTGGACAGTGGAAGTTGTCCCTCTCTGTGGCCACTTGAGTTATAAAAAATGTCCTCATCCATGGCCACCTGGGCTATAGAAGGTGTCCCTGTCCAAGGCCACCTGGGTTGTAGAAAATGTCCTCATCTGTGGCCACCTGGGCTGTGGAAAATGTCCTTATCCAAGGCCACCTGGGCTGTGGGAAATGTCTTCATCCGTGGCCACCTGGGTTATGCAAAAGGTCCCTATCTATGGTCACCTGGACTATAGAAGGTGTCCATGTCTGTGGCCACCTGGGTTATAAAAAATGACCCTGTCCATGGCCACTTTGGACAGTGGAAGRTGTCCCTCTCTGTGGCCACTTGGGTTATAAAAAATGTCCTCATCCATGGCCACCTGGGCTATGGAAAATGTCGTCATCTGTGGCCACCTGGGCTATAGAAGGTGTCCTCATTGGTGGCCACCTGGGCTATAAAAGGTGCCACCATCCGTGGCCACCTGGGCTACAGAAAATGTTTTCATCTCTGGCCACCTGGGCAGTGGAAGGTGTCCCTGCCTGTGGTCACCTGAGCCATGGAAAATGTCCCTGTCCATGGCCACTGGACAGTGGAAGGTGTCCCTATCCAGGGCCACCTAGGCTATGGAAAATGTCCTCATCGGTGGCCATCTGGGCTATGGAAGGTGTCCCTATCCAGGGCCACCTGAGACTCTTGACTTCCATAATCCCGACCCCGCTGGGATAATGAGGTTCACTGCCAAATGATGGATTTTTAAAGGAATTCCAGTGATTTTTGTGGTGTCAGAGGGGTCCCGGCTGTGGGACTCTGGGATTTTCAAGGAGGTAGGTGGATAAACCAGGAGACCCCAGGTTTGAAGTCCAAGGGCACAGAAATTGGGAATAAAGCCGGAATTTCGGGGCTGGAATGGGTTAAAAAAACCCAAAAACTCTCCTGAACATAGTCCCATCCAAGCTGCTTTGCTCCTGTAAAGAGGAGGAAAAATCCCAACCGGATCAAGAGCAAATTGGCTGAAATCTGATTAAAAATAACTAAATGAGGTGGGTTTGGAACTTTGGGGTCTAATTTTGGGTCAGGTGAGGCAGGARMGGGYTGGATGTGCWGKGAGGGAGGGGASCCRGAGCCSTTCCCTGCATTGGGAATTCCTGYTTTTAGCTGGATCAGGAATGTTCTGGTGATGGTTGGAGAAACGAGATGGGATTTATTTTCCTCCCATTCCTGCGAAAAATGGCAGAGCCATCGTGGGGCTGCCAATTATGGGGTTTGTGACGGGAAAACCCCACTGAGGGGTGTCCGTGTGTCCATCCGTCCGAGCTCCGGGGTCATTCCCGGTTCCTCACGGCCACTCCGCTTTGTCACTGCCCACCCAGATCCCAAAGCTGCGCCCACGGATGTCCGGATCAGAGTCCTAAACAGCACTGCCATAGCTCTGACCTGGACCCGGGTGCACTTGGACACCATCCAGGGACAGCTCAAGGAGTACCGAGTGAGCAAATCCCAAATTCCCCCATCCCAAATCCCACCGCTGACCGTTAACCCAGCTAAACTTCCTCAAAAATTCCCATTCCGGAGGGATTGAGCCATTGGACGAGGGGATGACAGAAAACGTCCGTGTGGTCACCAGGACCCTTTGGGGTCTGAGGATGCTCTTTGGGGTGCTTTTTGGGGTTTGAGACATCTCCCATGGCTTTAGGATTTGGGATGCTCCAGAAAAACAGTGAGGGATTGGGACAGTCCTGCCCCAACCAGGTCAGGTTTTGTGTCATCCCCGAAACGCCGACGGCGTTTTTTACTGACCAACAACMCYCGCAGAGCYTAAACCCRCGSTCGGGACTAACCRGGCACTAAAGCCGGCGTGGATCTGWGTTTTTCCAGATCGTTCCGSGTTTAAATTTAATATTCATSCMYCTTTCCCGGTTTAATATTTAATATTTGTCCATCTTTCCGGGTATAAATTTAATATTCATCCATCTTTCCCTATTTAATAGTGAAAATTTATCCATATTTCTGGGTTTTATGTTTAATATTAATCCATCTTTTGGGGCTTATATTTAATATTCATCCATCTTTTCCCGTTTAATATTCAATATTTAATATTTGCTGCTGATGCACAGAGGGTGGAGCTGTTCAAACCAAAGCAAACTCTGAGCAGGGCCATTCCCTTGGCATCCAAACATTCCCAAAATCTCTTTTTGGGCCAAGAATTCTGGCATTTCAAACCAAACCATCCACTGACTCTCCTTTTCCTGATTTTCTGGATGGATTTTCTGAACGGATTCTAGTTTCTGATTTATTCTGATTTATTCTATTTCTGTTTTCCTATCCTGAAATGGGATTTAGAGTCAAGAAATTCCCCAAATTCGGGCTTTTCTTTCTGCCCCGGTGTATCCCACTTTGCTTTGTCCGTCTTTACTCCAAGCAGAAAGGGAGAATGCGCTCGGTTTTGAATTTTTGGGATTTAGGAACAGCTTTAATTTGAGCTCAGTGATTTTGCTTGGTGCCTTTTGGGATTCTCTTCCCCCCCTGCTCATCCTCGGTCAACACCTCACAGAGCTTCACTAATTTTCCTAAAAACCACCGCTCTTAAAACCAAAATTCTGCTTTTTAACGCCTAAAAACTTAAAAAAAAAAAGCGAAAAAACGGGAAAAAGCTTCACCCACCCCGGCTGTTTCCCCAAGGCCTATTTCTGGCGRGACAGCAGCTTGCTGAAGAACCTGTGGGTGTCCCGAAAACGGCAATTTGTGAGTTTTCCCGGGGATCGGAACCGGGGCGTGGTGTCCCGGCTTTTCCCGTACAGCAACTACAAACTGGAGATGGTGGTGACCAATGGCCGGGGTGACGGTCCCCGCAGCGAGCTCAAGGAATTCCCAACCCCAGAAGGAGGTACGTTCCCACCGGGAATTTTTTTTTTCCCCGCTGGGAGAGATTTGGGTGGATCAGCCCCGTGGAGTTAAAGAATTTTAGTAATTTTAGCTGTTTTAGCCTAATTTAGCCAATTTTAGCGATTGCTATCGGGGATATCCCTGAAGAAGGATTTTGTCCCTAATCCTCTCAGAAATCCCAAAAAAAAATCCTTGTTGGGTGCTTTGGACACTTCAACCATGAAGATTTTGGGTGGAAAAATGGAAGTTTTTGCCAAACCCTTCCCCAAAAGCAGCTCCGTGCCCGTGATTTTCCGCCCGAGCCGCGGTTCGGGGATGTTCCAGCAGATGGATCCTCCTTGAAAAGGCAGGAAAACCTTCCCAGGATTTTTAGGAAGGGCACGGCCRATTCCTCCATCGGGTTTTTAAGGCRAGGGCACCTCGTTCCCGTGCCGAGGATGAATTCTGGGATTTAATTTTATCCCCAGAGTTATTTATAGATGTGCCGATAATTCCGGGCTGGAGCTGTGATTCCAGCGGCTGGAAATTACTTTTCTTCCAGCTCAGGAGGGAATTCGGGCACAAAACCTCACAAAAAAAGCAGGAAAAGATTTGCAAATCTCATCTCAGAGTTCTTTAGAGTCTCTCCTTTTCTCTTTCTCTCCATCCTATCCCAGCATTTCTCAGTGCTGCCTCTTTCTTAATTTATTTTTGGATGCTGTTCCCATTTTTTAAGGATTTTTTTGTGGATAATTAGGATTGTTTCAGACGAATGGGTTCAATTCCTGTAGGTTTTGCAGGCAGGGGCATTGTGATCCCGTGCTTTGGGGGATTTGGGGTGGCTTCAGACATTTGGGGTGACATCAAGTGGCATTAATTAATAAATACAACAGATTTCCTTCTTTTCACTGGAAAAAATGTGGAATTTTATTTTTCCTACATCACCGAGCCCTTTTATGGACTCAAACTGACACTGAGGAGGCTGAAAGAGATCCCACACCACCAAAAATAAATCCCCAATCTCTCTTCGTCCAATTAAGACCCCACAATTCGGAAAATCAGGAGAATAATTTAATTTAAGGCTGTGTAATTCTTTCCTTCCTTTAGCAGTGATAATCCCAAACATTCCTTAGGGTGAGGAGCATCTTCTTGGGGGAAATCTCTGGAATTCCGTTTCCCAAAGATTCTTTGGGATAAGAAAAGTCACTTTTGGGGGTTTTAAGAGAGGAATTTTTGGGATCAAAACCTTGGGATGGGTGGAGGGGTTTAATGCTGGGAAATTTGGGTTCAAGAGGCAAAAGTGGAGCGGGAGTTAAGAGGAGTTTTTGGGATATTTTTTGTTCTTCTAAGAGGGAAATTTTTGGGATGAAAACCTCAAGATGGGTGGGGAGATTTAAGGAATTCTGGGAAATTTTTATCTGACACACAAAAGTGGGGTTGCAGTTAAGAGGAATTTTTGGGATATTTTTTGTTCYTCTGAGAGGAAAATTTTTAAAATGAAAATTTTGGGATGGGTGTGAGCTGTACAGAAACTCAGGAAATATGGATCCAAGAGGCGGAAGTTGAGCCGGAGTTAAAAGAAATTTTGGGGATATTTTTGTGCTTCTAAGAGAGGAATCTTTGGGATGAAAATTTTGGGATGGGTGAGGGGTGTAAAATTGGTCGAGAAAATTTGGGTCCAACGGGGGTTGCTGTTAAGGGGAGTTTTTGGGATACTTTTTGTTCTTCTGAGAGGGAAATTTTTGGGATGAAAATTTTGGGATGGGTTGGGGGTGGTGGTTAAGGAAAGCTGGGAAATTTGGGTCCAACAAATGTGGGGCTGGAACAAAGAGCAGTTTTCAGGAAAGATTTTGTTCTTCTATGAGAAAATTTTTTGGGGTATTTTGTGCTTCTAAGAGAAATCTTTAGGATGAAAATTTTGGGATGGGTGGAGGGTTTAAGGAATGTCAGGAAATTCGTTTCCAAAGGAAAAATGGGGCTGGACCTGTCCCAGCTCCTCTTCCATGGCCTCGCTGGACGATCCCACGGGATTGGGTTCGTGCCAGTGCCTCTCCCTTTTCCTCCCCGCTGGAAATCCCACGGGGCTGGCGCTTTTTGGGATTGATCCTTGTGGGAATTCCAGCATTCCTGGGGTGGGATCTTTACCCCTGGTGTGTTCTCTCCTCCCTCCCCAAGTGCCCAGCTCCCCGCGGTACCTGCGGATCCGACAGCCCAACCTGGACATCATCAACCTGGAGTGGGATCACCCCGAGCACCCCAATGGGATCCTCACGGGATACACGCTCCGTTACCAGCCCTGTACGTCCAGATTTTCCCTTCCCAGGGTTCATTTGGGGTCATTCCATTGGGAAATTCTTCCCTCCCAACTTTTCCCAGAGCGGGAGCTCCGTAAGGAAACGGGGAGTTGCATTTATGGGATGAGCCGGTGTTGGTGCTCGACCAAGGAGCCCAGCAGCTCCCCACACTCGATTTTTGAGGGAAAATCAGTCGGATTTGGGATTTAGGAAGGTTTTGGGTGCAGCCCGAGTGGGTTTTGTGCTTTGCCCAGCAAGAGTTGGATGAGGAGATGCTCGAATGTCCCCAAACCTTCTCTGCCACCCTAAATGTCCCCCCTAAATGTCCCCAAACCTTCTCTGCCCCCCTAAATGTTCCCCTAAATGATTCCCTGAATGTTCCCCCGAATGTCCCCCCAGGCAGACCACCCCAAAACACCCCAAACTGGGTGGGTTTAAGGGCAGGAGCAGCTCTGAACCCCACAGAAACCCCACGGTGACCCCACAGA